AGCTCATCCTTCAGATGTTTATTAAACAGAAGAACTGAAAAAAAAATGAGGTTTATAGTCTCATCACATAAACATTTGAATTTGTACCCACAAAAATGGTGGTATTCATGCTCACAGCCAGCTTCTCCCAGGTGAACAGGGCTATGGGTGTATGGCTGGTTGCGGAGAATCCCCTTCCTCTCCACTCTGGAATGCTTCTAGGCAGCGACGGGGATGCCACCGGCATCACAACAGATCTCATTCCCAGACACAGACTTATCTATGGCCCATCACGAGGATGGCTTTTCCTTTTTAACAGCTTTTAAACATACATACTTCTCAGAGGAAGCTACATGTTCTACTAGAGTGCCACAGAACCCCACCCAGGACCATGGGAATGACAGGAACAAAGGGACAGTGCTATTTCTTCAGCAAAGGATGATGACTACCCCTCCCATGGGTCCCATCTCTCCCTCAACTGCAGGGACAGAAAGGCCTGTGGACAAGACCACATGCTGGGAGAGTTATTGCACAACCCGGAAGAGAGGAAAAAGGCAGGTGGCAAGGGGTGGGAGAGAGAAGCTGCTGCCAGCACATGGGTGGGAACACTGACTTAGAAGCTAGAAATGGTTCTGCGACAGCCAGAGGCAGCCAGCCCACTGTCAAATGGGCATCTGAGCGAACACTGGAGATTGAGAAGTGAGAATAAACACCTTTACAATACATACTGTGGGTTGAATGGGAAACAAAATAGATTAGAAAGCTTATAGCAAGGGCACCTTTTCTAACATGGTGGAGACATGAAAGAGCACTTTTCACTGTGTGGGACCAGAGACAGTGAGTTCAGTGCTACTGGAAGCCTGCACTTCGCTTAACAGGCACGAGGAGGAGGTGCTTATGGATGGGCCATCTCTCACGCTTCTGAAGCCACCCAGCCTGGCCAAAAGAGAACTGAAGGAGAAACCAGAAATGAGACAGCACATTAGACCCTACCACCATGGTATGGGAGGCAGAGATAAATGAGGCAAATCCATCACAATTTGTGTCCCTTTTATATGTAACGATACTGAGGTATGGTGTCCTTGGCCGCCCATGACAAAGCCCTACAGCCCTGGAGGTGGGGGCTGGCCATGAAGTACAAGTGAAGGCTGCAGACCACATGGCCAAGAAAGGCACTTCTTACACAAAAAGAGTAAGGAACTTCAGACAAAAAATCGGCAGGGGTGGCTGAGCACATGAGGCCACACAGAGTAAGTCTGAAGGTTTTTCTTTGCCCTAGCTCTACCGATCCCAGAGACTCCATAAGAGTGAGTAAGGAGGTGGCAGAGAGGCACCTGGGGTGGAGTAATCTTTCCAGGCTTCTGGGAGGTGAAGTTATTATTCCCATCAGAAAGAACTAGGCTGTAGAGTGAGCAGCTGGCAAAGGTGACCTCAATGGACCAACCATGAGCCAGGAGGACTTCGACTGAGGTTTCCTAATGACCTGACAATTACTAATTCTCCAGTAAGATTTGCTGAAAGGTTAAAGACCAGTAATCCCCAAAAGGCCTTTCTGAAGAACAGGGCTGTGAGCGAGGAAGGCAGAAGGGGAAAAAGACTATCCAGAGTCATCCCAAATCACAACTTTCAAAAAACTCTTGCTCAATGGAAATGGAAATCAGAGTCCTTAGGAGAACAGACTTAAATTTTTTCACTTGTCAACACTGAGGTCCTTAGGTAGAGCACTGATTTATATCCAGACTTTTCTACCTTCTCAGTCCAGGCACAGGAAATGCACATCAGGGAGACCAAAGCCTATGCGGGAAATCCAAGCCGAGGCCAGGCCAGTCATCTGGTGGTTGGCCAGCTACTTAAAAAAAAAAAAAAAAAATTAAAAAAGTCCATTGAATACTTTCATGTTGTAGAATCTCTTACCCCTTATTCTCCACTTAGAAAAAGGTCAAAGGGTATTGAAGGATGTCTCAATAGAAAACCCAGAGACAGTCAGCCCTGGAACACCCAACTCAAGGCTTCAAGGATTTCCAAGGTTCAAGGAATCCAGTTAAGAGAAGCATCTGAAAAGCTGGCCAGAGCAACAGTTATCTACTTCGGTTTCTTACATATTGGTAAGTTCTGCCTTGGACAGAAATGGGAAAGGTTCTCAGCAATCATTAGGTGTGGTGGCGCAGACACATGCAGGGTTTAGGATTGCTTAGAAGCAGCTCTCCTCCTTGCTCAGCCCAATACCCTTTCCCCCAAAACCATCCATTTAGATCTGAGTAGCTCCTGCTACCTTCAAAAGGATCACATGTAACATAGTAACAGTGTGGCTATCAGAGCCCTAGATGGTAAAAGAACTCCATCACGGAACTTCCAAGGATGGGAATTGAAAGCACTGACCCTTCATTCCACTAAACAGTCCATGCCATCTGCCAGGCTTCCCTATGCACTTGTGCCAGTCAGCCATGCTGAGAAAGCCAGCAGTCACCGAAGTAGATTAGCATCTGTCCTGTTCTTGGTGGATGGTGGGAGCCAGGCCTCGCAGACTTGGAGATGTCTGACAAGGCTTTCACAGGTGGCTTGGTACTTTGTTCAGGTACAGGAGAGTGTGTGAAGCTGAAGAAAGTAACCATAGTGGCCAAATGAGGACAAGCTGGCCCAACAAGCTCACTCAATGAAGTGGAACTGAATTACTTCAGCCTTCGACAATGCAGTTTCAATCAACCTGCCAACGACTTGGCTCTGCTCTGAAATCAATGTGCCAAGGAGGCCACTAAAGTGCTTTAAAATTACCCTCTAGCCCCCCAATCATCCCTGAAGCCTAGGCTAATGAGATACCACTCTAACTCATGGCTTCAGGACTTTCTTATATAGCAAAAAAGACTGGTACTAATTCCTCTCACAAATCAAATCCTCATCCTTTAGGGCAGAGAGAGACCCTAGATTGACCCCAACCATTGGGTTGGCAGCACCATATACAAAGCACACTATAATAGCAATGCCAGAAGTCTAGGTAACATGAAGCCACGTCATCTCTGGTACCCAAGTGTCATGGGCAGAACAAAAACCTATATACATGAGAATGCAGCTGCTTGATTGGCAAGACTACAGATGCTCTGGTCTCCATTACACCCCCAGCACCAGGCACACTGCAAGCATGCCATATGCATTTGCTGAGGGCATGAACCTGTGCTCACCTGAGAGGGCGCTGTCTCCTGCAGGAAACTGATGAGACCCAGCAATATCTGTCGGAGAGAACTGAAGGGTGGCTAGGCTGCTGGTGGAGGAAGGCGGGCCAAGGGGGCTGCCAGTTGAACACTCCCTTCACTTATCAGGCAAGGTAGGGAGCATGAACTCAATTAACAGCCTTCATCAGGGCTGTTTGACTGAGATGACTAAGGGATTTCTACTGGGTCTTCTGGCCAATACCAAGCTTCCCTTTTACCAGCTCTTTGCTTTGCAGGCCAGATGATGTCAGGAAAGGCGAGACAGGTGGGAAAAACGTGTTATTTTGGAAAGTGCTATCCGGCTTCCTAAAGGCAATCAAAAAAAGCCAAGGGTAGTTACCTTTCCATTTCTGCAGCCTTACCTAAACTAAGGGAAGGGTCTTCAAAGGTGGTAGGAAACACATCCCTTAGTCATTGACCAATTAATATCTATAATGCAAGTGATTTGGAGAATGGGTGTTATCCTGATGAAAAGACCCATCTCTCCTTTTTTGGATAAAAATCCAAGGTTTGGTTTCTAATGTGATGCCACCAGGATATCAAATAACACCCACATTCCTGTGCCCACTAAGAACTGCTCCCTTTCACCTTGGCACAGAGTTCAAGAGTTCTTAATCAGGACCCCTGAAAGCCTAACCTCCCTTCTGGATGTCCTCAAAAGGCACCATAGGGACTTGGTACCTTGTCTTTAGATGGAGGGGAGGGAAAGAATACATGAGGGAAGGGGGCCAAGAGACTCCTGGGGACCCAGGGGTGTCTGCTCATCTAACCAGAGAAGTGAGTGTGAGCCAGTCCCGGTTTCCAGTCTACAGGCTGTTGGTGTGCTCAACAAACATCGGCAAACGACACAATTCCAAAGGACACTTGACAAATGAGGCCAGAGGGTAAGTGGCCCAAGTGACCCTCCAAGGGCCACCAAGGGTCTTGTGTGGGATGAGAGCCCTTGAGGCTTAGTGTTCCTGCAGTGAGAGATGAAGTCAAGGTAGCAAGCATGGCCCAACAGGGGTGGCTGGTTCTGGGGTTTAGGGCCAGCAGATCGTGGTCAGGCATGTAATTACTGTTGGTTTGGTTCTGAATGCTGGTGAACTGGTTGAAAAAGCAACCGCAGCTGAGGCTGCTGAAGAAAGGCCTAGTTCATCTCCTCCACACTGCTGCAGCTGTTACCTTTCCAGAAGAGCCCACTGCTCAGTATGCTTTGTTCTTGCTCTAAGGAGTGGGAAGAGTTGTCTTCCTCTAGCACTTCCCTGCAGAGTGACAGCAGGCTGGTTTCCATTCCAGGAGCAGCTACTGGCAAACTCTCGAGTCATGGGACCCAACACAGTTAACACCATCCTTCTGGACTGCGTCGTCACGGCCCAAAGCCATATGCCCTGGCATTTACAACCAGCAGTGGCACTCCCGTGCCTCAAGATGGTGCATGCAGAACTGGAATCATACATCTCATCAGTTAATCAGCACCAAGGAGATTATGATCCGGGAGGGGCGGTCTCTCCCCTTCTTGCCCATCCACACGAGGACGGCCAAGGGGCCTGCTCCCTGCCCCAGATGGAGGCTCCTGCCATGATGCTTCCAGACTCTGGCAGGTCCTGGAAACTGAAGCTGGGTGTTCAATGGACAGTACTACAATCTTAGCTCCCTCCCATTGTAAAAATCAGACACAGAAAAACGGCACAATCAGGTAAAATTAAGAAGTGAAAAGAGAAAGCAGCAGTTGTGAATTAAGAGAAAGAGGAGGCCAGCAGCCAGATGACCATGAGAACCTGGACTTCTGCAGAACCCCACACAGGACAGAGGGGAGGCCACGAGGTGGCTGGAGGGAGGAGGAGGAAGATTTTTGGTTTTATTGAGAATGGTTTACGGAAGAGTAAGGAAGAGAAAGCAAAGGAGTGAGAAAGCGAGAAGCCCCGTTTAGAGACGGCCTTGTGCTGTTTGAGATGGAGCATCACAAGCAGGGAGGAGGCAGCGACCAGGCCTGGCTCCTGGCCTCCTTGCAGGGCCCCCACCAAGAGGATTCCTGTTCCCAGCACTTTGGCCTTAAGGAGACTTGAGTTTCTTAGTCCGTGGGGAGGTCCCGTTTTCTGCTTTCACCACTCCATTTTCATGGTAACCTGGGAAGTGGAGGGAGACAAACAGACATGGTATTTCTGCTGGGCGTGGAGCAGGATAGGGGAACAGGGTAGAGTCCTTGCCAACAACGGGGGCCCGGCCAGCACTGCTGCTGCACACAAGATGAGCCAAAGGGGACACTAGGCTGCAGGTTCCAGAAGCCAGGGGAAAACTGCAGACAGCTCCCCATAGATTCCTGCTTTCTTCCCCACTGTCTTGCTATAAGTGGCCTGGTTTGAAGTGCTGGGTTTCTGTCCATTGTTGGGAGGGGGCTGGGATGACATAGTAACCCAGGGACAGGCAGAGACCCGCATGCCTAAGCCTGAGGCTGGGTAATCCCTGAAACCACTTAGCTGTTGCCAGGCCCCCTTCAGGGCAGCAGCCATTTCAGCAACAACGCAAAAGAATGGTGATAACAGTGGGAGGGGGGACAAGAGGCGGTGGGACAAGGCCTTACTCAGGCGCCTGCCACTCCTCTGATGGAAAAAATCGTGATATTTCTATTGTTAAATGTCCTTTCTTCTGCTTGCTTAAAGCCGAAGCAGCAGGCCTGGCTGCGACCTCACACCACCCCATGCCAGGCCTGCTACCGTCACACCCAGCCCTGCACGTGGCTGGTTCAAACACACATGGGCCTCTGCCAAGCAGGCTGTCTCCTGGAGAGAGGCAGGTGAGTCAGACAGATCCTGGTGCAGACAAGTCCTTGGGCTGCAGAAAGTGCTGAGCTTAGCAATGCCCTAGGAGCAGGTGGCAGGGACCAAAGAAAAAGTGGGTGTCCCACCCCTGCTGCCCACCTAGCACTCTGCCACCTTGAATTATTCTTGAAGACAAAGGAAAAGCCAACACCCAGGGAGGGAGAGGCAGACCAAGATTCAGAGCAAGAGGGCAGGTGAGGACAGAGCCTGCTGTGCAGAGGACAGACAACAGCAGCAACACAACTTGGCTAGGGCCCAGAAGCCACCCTGAGGACATGCTTCCCGCCACAGCTCCCCACCCATTCCTACCCTGCCCTGTGGTGGTGGTGAGGAGGCCGCCTAGTCGAGCTAAGGCCAGTGCCACCCACAATCTGTCCCTGGCCCATGCCCAGCCATGTGCCAGTTAGGCTGTGGCAGGAGCTGCAGAGCCCAGGTCCAGGGGAGGGAGTCAGGAGGAAGAAGCCAGCAGGACTGGTCAGACTCAGTCTGAAGAGATCTCAGGGAGCCATGGGCCTGGCTCCTCCCAACCCACTCCAGACAGATTTCGCCCACCTGCCTGCCTGCCTGCTATCTGCCCGAGGGCCCTGGCACTCACCAGATTCCCTCTTGATGAGCCTGGCTGGTAGTCTGGGGGCAGCTGGGATTCTCCGCTTGGCATTCTGTTCATTCCAGTATTCCCGCCAGTGCCGCAGCTGGGAGTGGATGAAGCGCCACATGAGCCAGGCCTGGGCAGCACACACCAGCAGCAGCACACACAGCCTGGGGAAGGAGGGGCAGAGAGGAGGCTGAGGGGCGACTCGGGCCCACAGCCTGGGAGGGGGAGACCTGGCCAGGGGCCCTGCAGCTGCGGTCCCCCTCAGCTTCTCCTCTTCCCTTACCACCACCATCACCAGGAAGAGTGCAAAGTTTGATGCTGACACCCACCACAGTCCTTGTCTCTGCTCTACAGAACTTCAAGGGTAGTGTCGTGTTGGGGGCTGAGGAGATGGACAAGGACAAGGCCACAGATGCTTGGCCAGTCCTTGATCAGGCCACTCCCAAGCCTGGGCTGGATCCATGTCTGTCTTTTTTTTTTTTTCTGTACCCACAACATACATGTAAGCTCCATAAATACTGGTGGAATTCAAATGAATTGAATGAAGATACAGCTGAAATCATTCAAGAGTAGCTTCACATCTTTTGTGCCACTTAAAGCTGAGCAACCCTGCACATGTCACACACCCTCCTGGGCCTACAGGGTCATAGGAACAGGTATATAACAGCTTCCTCACTGGTGGGGGCAGCCATTAGTGAAGCTAGTGGAAACACAGTTTTAAAGAGTGCAAGTGCAGTTGTAATGAGAGACTGGAGGTAATATCGCAAAGCAATAGACAAGGTAAGGGGATGTGTACTAGGACTGAGCCCCTGACGACAGTGTGAGCAGACCAAGGTCACAGAGTGAAGAGGGTTTAGATGGAAACGGAAAGCTGGTATCACTTCTTGGGATGAGCCTGATATTCCAACAAAATACCAACATGCTGCAGATTTGATGGTCTGCCACCCTGACCCTCTACACAGCTGTGCCGGGTTCAGGAGGCTCCGAGGAGCCCTGGGGAAGCCCTGACTCATCTTCTTAGGCTTCTGCCCCACTCACCTGCAAAGCAAGGTGTTGAAGTTGCCTTTCTCAGGGTCAAATGCCTGGTTTTCCATGCGAGCCAGTCCAAAGCCGATGGCCAGCACAGCAAGGGTGAGGATGAAGAGGCGGGTGACCCCAAACACAGCAGCCCAGGCATTAAACCTACTCGCAGAGGCAGAAAAGGGAGGTCAGCCTTGAGGGCCATGTGGGCACCTTTATATCTCTAGGAGCAACTTGAGGTGAGGACAGGATTCAGGGGTGCCTCAGGAAGGTGCCAGAGGGACAAGATATCTAGAAAAAGATACTCTGGGAAATAACCTTGGGGCGTCTCCTGCAAGGAAGCAGGCAGTTCACACCCAGGGCAGGATCCTCAGGTCATCCTGACCTCAAGGGAGGCCCAGCCCCACCTCAGATCCACTTACAGCTTCTCGTTGTTTTCGTCTGCGAAGTAGAAGAGTCGAGCCATGTGGAAGAGGAACTCAGTTGAGTACTGCAGCAGCAGTAAGATCAGGCCCAGGCGGCTCAAGCTGGGGAGAGAAACACCAGCTTTACACGTCTACAAAGATGTCACGACTTGGCTCGGCCCCTGGGCCTGGCTGTGCTTTCCACGCCTGCTTTCCCTGGCTGGCCCTGCCTCCGCCTTCAGGATGTGGTTTAGCTGTCACATTTTTAAGAATTCTTCCTAATACCAGCCCCAGGCCTTTCACCTGTCCTGTATGGGTCAGATGCCACAACCTGCTCCCATAGAGGACCAAGTTTGCACTCTTCACAGCACTTACTACCTTGCATTCACTGTCTTATCCCCAACACCCAGCCTGGAACTAAGCACATAAAAGATGCTCAGAGCAAGTTAGCTGTACTTTTATATAGTAACACCAGGGGTTTCCACCATTTGACTTTCTATTACCCAAGTCTGCACAGCTAACAAGTACACAGGAAAGCACAACTCAACACAGTGTAAAAATACCTGCTAGTAAACTGACCTCTTATAAAATCAGCAACACGCACACATTCCCCCTCTGCTTAATTCTAGTCATGATCTTATAATTTCCTGTGTGAGGCAGCCTCTTGCAGGTGGTCAGATATAGTTCAAATACAATGTGAAAAAACTACAAAGTGAAATTACATATCCTACTACATGTGCAGGGGTTTGTGAAGTCAATGAAATAATGCTGGCGCACACTCACAGACACTCATAAATGAGGATCTGGCCGATTACACCAAATGTGACCAAATAAGCGAAAAATCACTCAGGAAGTTTACTAATGGGCATCAAGAGAATATAAAAACTACCCAATGTCCTCATCATGGCCCTCAAAGTGCAAAGTGATCTGGTGTATGACCTCACCACAAACATCATTTTCTACATTCAGGACACAGTGAGCTCATTCCTAGCACAGGGTCTCTGCACCTTCTGTTCCATTTGCCTGCACAGCTCTTTCCCCACATCTTCACGTGCCTGGCTCTTGTCATTTGGGCCTCAGAGAGGCATTCTCCCAGCACACCACAGGTACCAAATGGACAAGTCACTGCATAATACTCCCTGGCTTTATTTTCTTCATAGTATTTATGTTGCCTTGTTTACTCTCTGACTCCCGCTAGAATGGAAGCACCAGAGTAGGGCCCTTGTCTGCCTTTACCCAGAGGTATCTGCAGCTCCTAAACCAGCACCTGGCCCATGGGAGGTGCTCAGGCACGTGTTGAGTAAATGAAAGACTCTAAAAGCCAAGCTCTTAACCAAAATTAGGCCCTGAATCGTTCCTGCACTTTCAAGTTCTGTCCTTCTTGAGAAATCTTGCAGCCAAAGGTCTCCAGACAGGCTCTCTGGGAGGCAGGAGACAAAAGCCTGAGTGCTGCTTCCCTCCCTGACTCTATTTCCCTGAATCAGTCATTTTCACAGCATGCCTGCTGTAAGAATGTGAGACAGAATGAGCCCCAGGACTTTCAGGCACTGAAGAAGAAAGTTATGCATAGCAAGTTCTCAAAAGGCCAGCCTGGAGAAAGTGTACGGCATCTTTCTGTCCTGCAGTGATAAAGCTCAAGAAGTCATCCAAATTAGCAATGACATACCTATTCACCAAACAGTTCTTTTCATAAAAGACACTCTCAAGGCTGAACGCTACAGCAACTCTTTTGACTTGTAGAGAGAATAATCAAGCAGCAAACTCTGAAGTAGGGCCCAGTCTATTCTCCACTTCATCACAAATCAGAGGGAAGGGGGTTTCTAGGCCTAGAAGCTCTAGTAGCATCTGCCCCTCGGCACCGAGAGGCAGGAGGCCAGCTTTGGGCTGCCTTCAAACTGCAAAACCATGGTTCAAGTGTCGCCAGCCTCAGAAGCCTTTCCTGGCTCTCTCTCAGGTTCAGGTGGTCGGTCACTCTTCTGGGTTCCCAGAGCATATGATACATATCATATTATATATAGCTCTTAACACCCCAAACTCTCATCTACATCTGTAACTGTCTTTCCTACTTGGCTGAGAATGAATGACTGAAGAAAATGGAATCTTCCATTAACCATCCTTGTATTCCCAGGTCTTGGCATGGTACTTGGCACACACAAGGTATTAATGAATGCCTGCTAATGGAATGAATATGCAGATTGATGCATGGACAGAAGCAGGCAAGGCAATCTGGCTGGCCCCAGGGTCTCACTCACTTTAAGAGGTATGCGCCAGCTATGTGGACCAGGTACAGGCAGATGTATTGGAGCTGACGGGGAATTTCCTCCTGCAGACAAAAGAACCAGACAGTAAATTTGCTCTTTCCCTAAATAAAGATGCAGGGAGTGGGGGGTGGAGGGGCAATGCAGGGGAATGAGGGAGGGCTAGCTCTCACATCATCTCAAATCTCATGTACAGGGCTGCTGAAAAGTCTGACAAGGAAGCAGCAGCTTTGGGTCCAGTGTCAGGGGCAATGTTTGGGTTGAGAAAGAAGAGACAGGGATTGGTGAACAGGCTTTGGAAATAATTCAGATGGAAACAATAAAATAAGACTGTGTGAAAGGTAAAAATCTTTCCACCCACTACCTAGAATACCAAGTGAGATTTCCCCTAAAGCCACCTGTGTGATATGGAAGGCAGGTGGGGATTGATGCTGGGGTCCTACTCTCATGGGATGGAAGGAGGAAGACTTAGCATTTTACTCAACCCCTCAGCACATCCCCAACACCACCCCTGACTCTTGGAGCTTCCAAGAGGAAGTACCGTTGAGGACAGCAAGAGGGCAGGTGGAGAATGAATGGGCTCCAAGAGTCATGAGGAAGAAGTGAGTACTCACCTTCCGTACTTTCTGGAAATACAGCTCGGGAAGTGCATGTAGCCAGTAGGCCAGCTGGCACAGGTAGAAAAACTTTACCTGGAAGCTGGAAACAAGGAAGTGAGTTACACAGGTGGATGGAAAAAAATATCCCGGGGTAGGTGGGGGCCTTGCCAAGAATGACAGAGAAATGTTAAGGGCCAAGACTTTGTGAGGAGCTGGCCCAGAAGTGAGAGAGTTTGATTTGCCATTACCACCCTCCTGAGCCTGGAGGCCAGTGCCCTTGTTCCATATCAAAGGCCACTTCAAGGGCATGGAAATTTCATGGAAACAAACAAAAATGATTAAGAGTGCAGAGGAGGGCTTTTTCAGCCTAGAGAGGGAAGGCTGGGGGTAAGGGGTGGGGGTAGCTGATAGAGAGCCCTGCTACCAAAGAAGATGACAGTCACTGAAGATATTGAAGAATGAATGGATCTACGGAGCAAAGGAAGGCTCTAAATCAGCCAAAGGGAAGTCCTCTGGTGGTGTTGCTCATAAGGGTCTTGAGAAAGGTGAAGAGCAGTCTCCTGAGGGAGCTGGGCATAGGTGTTGCCCTCCTGGCATCTTGGCAGCACAGAGAACCCCCAGAGCAGAAGGGAAAGGGCAGAAGAGGGCTGCCTCTGCTGGAGCCTCAGCCACAGGAGGGCAGAAAGGCAAGAGGTGCTATGAATTTGAGTAGCTGCCAAGGAGGCACAAAGCCTGAGGACTGTATGGAGATATTCTGCTTTTGCACCTGCCTCCCATGGTTTAGTTTTTTTTCTGTGATAGGGGCTAGTGTAGAGGACCTTTCATTTCAGGATTCTCTGTGCAAAGTGTACACGGAAAGCGGCTCCCAGGCAGGTCAGCCCTCCACAGTACCCTGCCCTAATAGGCTTCCCAGGGGTTGATCTGGTCCTGCTGCCAGCTGGCCTCGTACTGTTCTGGCTACTTTCTGGGAATGGAGAAGCCAGTGGACCAGCTTGCTCCTCCCTGGGACCAAGTCAAGACATACTCACGGGAGATACACATGTGGGTAATCCTCCCAGAGGCTTCTTGGGTTTGTTAAGTATCCTTCCTGTGGTGGGAGAGAAAGAAGAGAGAGCATTGAGAGATGTGGACAGGAGACCTGCGGCAAGCACCCAGCTCCCAGCTGCATGAAAGTGGAAGGAGCAGAAAATATCAGAACGAAGCATCTCTCTGTGTCGCATCCACTGGCATTTGACTGATTTCTTTACTGTGAAAGAGCCAGCCAGGATCTAATAGGAAGAATGGAAGGCTGGTATCTGAATAGAGGTCTGACACTACAAGCAGTATCCTCTGAACAAGTTAATGAGTTTCCCTATACATCAATTAGTTCATCTGGAAAACAAGGATACAAACACCTACCTTCACAGAGTTACTGGCGAAATAAATGTGATCGTTTATGCAAGAGGGTCTAGCTCTGAGCCTGCCATGTGGAATTTGGCAAAGGCTTATAGAATGAATAAGCTATTGGACTCTAGAGACACCATCCACTTGAAAGAACATGAACAAAGTTTGAATAAAAAGACTAGCAGGCCCCCACAGGTCTCACTGTGAGTCTGGATTTCGGCATTTATCACACTGCATCATCACTGCCACTTGCCTCCATTACTCTGCAAGTTCTTCCATGCTGGGGTCTTTTCTTATCCTTCTTTATATCTCCAGCATCTAGTACAGTACATTTTACAAAGTAGGCATCTAGGAATGAATGATAGTGGAACCCTCCTATCACAAAACACCTAGAAACGTTGGCTAAAATCTAACACATATTCTAAATGCAAAGCTGAGCTAACACTAAGAAAGGGAAATCCCTTAAGGCCCAAAAGGGACAGGGAGCTAAAAACCACAGCAGTAAGCTAAGGTGATGCTGTGGCAGCCAGAAGGCACTAGTTAGGACTGAGGTTTTTGTGCCCATATAGGAACAGAAGATGGTGCCTTGGGAGACAGAACTGAAACCCTTGTATAAAATCAGGACCCCTGAAGGACTACAACCTCAGAAAAAGGGTAGACGTGAAAGAGCTGGCCAAGCAACACAGGGAGATGAAGATGTCCATCCCAGCCTGGACTCTAGATGAAAACAAAAAATTATCCCCTAAAATTCTTAACTCAGGCTGTGAGTTGGGAGTTCAAATATACACTACAGGCATCACCAAGCTAAGAAATTCTTGGGCCAGTGATATCCTTGGGATATGCCCTCATCCAAGGATGTGAAGGATTCCCACAGATAAACCCTTAGATGGTAAAGAGGAATTTACAATCTAAGATTACAAATTACACAAGGAAACATCCATCATGAGCAAGAGGCAGCTGACACTAAAAGAGTCCAGTAACAGCTTGTTTAGATGAACAAAGGAATGAACAATGAATCCTTTAAGCAATTTCTCCCTTCTGAGGCAAGAGAAGGCCTTATGTGTCACTTAGAGAAGGAAGAACCAAAAAAACCAAACTAACTGCCACTGAGTTGATTCCAACTCATAGCGACCCTCATCGGGTTTCTGAGGCGGTAAATCTTTATGGAAGTAGATTGCTCCATCTTCCTTCAGCAGAGCAGCTGGTGGGTTTGAACCACTAACCTTCTCGTTAGCAGTCAAATGCTTCAGGCACTACGCCACCAGAGCTCCTCAGAGAAGAAAGAGAAGGCTAGATTATTATGACCTCATTTTAGAAATAAGAAAATTAAAGAACAGACAAGAAGAAACCCTGAAATCACATGGTTTTTCAGCAACACAGCCAAAATCTGAGCTGGGCCACCAATTAATTGCCTGACCCAACAACCTCAGGCCAGGTTACCTTAGTATGTTAGAAAAGAAACTAGGCTGGTTGGTGACTTTCATGAGGAGGCTGGGAATCTCAAATATTCACCCTGGGATTATAGGCAGGGGTTTAGCAATACTCAAGAGAATGAGAAAGCTAGTATCATTTAGGAGAAGCATTCTAGATCACTGTCTTTTGGATCCTCAATTGTATTATCAAGTGAAGGGCTGATCCACCCACCCTCCAGTCACCACATACTCTCTGAATTATCCACGTGCATTTTCAGTACAGTCCACAGCCCCAAACTCACAAGCTTGGGCCTCATTAACACAATGACCTAAGTCCAATCAGACACATGTACTAGTGTTGCCATGGTAACTTAGATCTGAAGGAAACAATCTCAGCCCAATACCTTATAGCCTCATTTCTAATCTCTTCTCGCTGCTACCTCTCTCACTCCTCTACCACAAAGACTGAAGCTCTGGGTTTTCCAAGCGGGGGTGTGGACTGCTGGTGTTAGTCTCTGCCTTCCCTCTCTGCTGTTCACACACCTGCCAGCATCAGAATCACTGACCCTAGGCACTCTGAGATATGTGGTCTTCCATACTTCTACCTCATTCCAAAGAAACAGAGAGGTGAGAAATTCCTTCCTAGAGGAATAGCAATATATTTAATGAGGAAAATGGTATTTCTGGGACTGAGGTGGGAGAGAAATTTCTGCCAAAAAAGACAGGCCAAAAGAAGCAGCATCAAGAGAAATTTAAAGCCCAGATGATCTTGTGATTTTAAACAGGAACTCGCCTCAGCCTGGCCTCTTTACTTAGGAGACAAAGAGGTCAGGACTCTGAAGCTCAAGCAGAATAAACTCTCCAGAAAAATGCTGCCTGCTTATGAATGTCCAGTCCACTGGGACATGAGCAGGGAGGGGTTGGAGGGGAGAGAGCAGAGGAGCCAGAGGAAAAATGACTCACTGCTCTGAGAACAGCCTTTTCCAGACCTCTGGCCAAGCAGCTGGCTAAGAGAAGACTGGGGCTGAAGAATACGTCAGAGTCCAGGCCACCAAATCACAAGTTCACTGGGAGCCACGTTTGGCAAAGCAAGCTGCCTGTAACCCAGTCCAAATCACACCCATCAATAGGCCTCAGCAGATGGTTTCAGCAGCTTTTGAAATCCTTTGAGCTCTTCTGATTCTATAAGTGAACCCCTGAGCTATGTGAGGCCTGAGGAAGCCGGGATAATCCCTCCCTTTCCCTAACATGCTTCTTTTTGGGTGTATGAACCAAAAGAACCACAAAAACAGCAGAACCTGGTCATAACCCAGCTAGTTGCCACCTAGATTTAGACAGGCTTTGTATCATTTATCCCTCAGGAATAACCATGTATAAAAACCCTACTCCTTGGGATCAAATTGAAAACAGCAAGTAGAAAGATCAGATAGGAAACTTAGGAGGCAGTGAGTTTATATTAATGAGGAAGAAGAGAATAATGTGGAAAAGCAGGGTGAGGATGGTTGCACAACTTGAAGAATGTAATCAGGGTTACTGAATGGTACATGTAGCAAGTTGATAAAACCCAAAAAACAAACTCACTGCCATCGAGTCAATTCTGACTCATAGTGACCCCCACTGGGTTTCTGAGACAGTAAATCTTTACAGAAGTAGATTGTTCCATCTTCCTTCCATGGAGTGGCTGGTGGGTTTGAACTACCAGCCTTCTGGTTAGCAGTCACATGCCTTAGGCACTGTTCCACTAGAGCTCCTCAGAAAGTTGATAACCTTACAAAATTATTCGTTGGTCCAGACTCCTCCCATAATTCTCCTTGTATGCATGAGGAGAGAAATGTCTGAATTAAACATCAAAATAAAACTGGGTATTTCTAGTGGGAAGAATATGGAGTAATGCTTTGTTTTTTGTAATCTTCTGTACTGCTCTCTTGAGGGAAAAAAAAAAATCCCTGATTTTTATAAAAACAATCAAATCATTACTTTAAAAAATGTTAAAAATTGGAGCAAGAAGATGCATTTGCAATTTATTCATTCATTCTCTCAATCAATATTTACTGAGCACTTAGCATGTGCTAAGCAATGCACCAGGGAGGGATACAGCTCTACCACAGTGCCCGCTCACATACTTACAATCTGGTGAAAGTGACAGACAACAGAGCATGCACATGTGAGTATGAAAAACATCACAGAAATGGGCGCTGTGCAGAAAATACAAATAGGGTGGGTGCTCTGTGGACTGAATTACTGGAGGTGGGGACTTAGATGACAAAGAACTGGCCCTGGGATGTCAAGGGGTGGGGCATTTGAGCAGAGGAAACCATTAGTGCAAAGCCTAGGAGGAGGAATGGCCAGAAATGTTAGAGGAGCAGAGATAAGAAGATGAAGTTAGGGCTGCTGACAGGGGAAATGAGATGATGTGAGGTCGGCAAAGACAGCAAAGTGTGGGTCACCTGAGTGAGGAAGAAAATGATTTCACTGCAAGTACATGATGGGGGCTTTGAAGCAGGGGAATACATGATTTAATTTATGTTTTGAATAGCTCCACCTGCCTGAACAGAAAATGGACTGGGGTGGGGATGAGAGTATAAGAGTAGAAATTGTCTCCTTCTAGAAGGAAGCTATTAATTGGCCATGCAAGAAACGACAGGGGCTTGACCTAGGGCAAGGTGTCTCAATACTGACATTTTAGGCTGGACAGTTCTCTGTGGTAGGGACTGTCCTGTGCATCATAGGATGTTTAGCAGTATCCCTGGCCTCTACCCACTAGATGCCAGTAGCATATTGCAAATGTCCCCTGGCAGACAAAACTGGCCCATGCTGAGAACCACTGACCCAGGAGTCCACAGTGAAGGTAGAAAGAAGCTAACAGACTATCAGCATGTTTTGGAGGTAGAATTGGCAGGATCTGCTAATGTGAGGGAGAAAGAAAGAAAAGGACCGAGAAAAATTTATACCATAATAATGTGATTGAAAAAAAAAAAAAAACCCAAAACTAGCTGTTTTTGCTCTTTTTTCCAAATTACCCTCTCTTCTTCCTTGTTCACTTTTATCTCATGCAGAATGGTCCAAATTAAGTGGGTGGAGACAAGGAGCTAAGTGGTGTTAGGCGCTAAGGTCACTGGCACCTCCCATGGCCCCCCACGTCTCCATTTCTTGTTGAATATGTTGAGTAGAGAACTGGCTCTCACCATAAAAAACTGTTACCAGCATTCCCCAAAAAAAGTGCTACAAAATCCCAAACTAATTAGCACCCTTGAAGTACTCAGAAAAGCATTTCATATTCTGGGAGGGGTATTAAGTAACTGAGTTCATTGGACCCCAAATCTGGTCTAAACATGTCACAACTGGGCTGATGTTGAAAAGCTGTGATTCAGGATGAGGCAACGCTTCTCCTGAAAGATTGGTTAAATGTCTGTGCTATCCAGAGACCTTCTGCCTCAAAGCTGCTCAGAGTGTCCAGAGGCGTGCATGAACACCATGCATCAAGTGGTTGGACGAAGTCTGAAATCCAGAAGCACCTAAACTTCCTAGGGCCAGAATGTACACTGCATAAAAACAGGGGGCGCTGTTCACACAGACCACAATGTAAACCCGCCCCCTGGACAGTGTAATAGGGGAGCCCTGTTGGCAGTGTAGAAGTCTTGGGTCCCTTGTTTAAAATTCCTAGTGTTCTGTTTAGGCAAACAGTTCTGTAATACAATAATAATAGAAATAAAAACAACATAGAAAAGGACATGTTGACTCCTGCTTTGAAAATATGAACTTAGTTTTCAGCTCTGGAGGCAGAATTCTTTATGCTATGAAATCCCATCATAGTCACTGAAGGAAGTGGGGGGGAAGGTGAGGGATCTGTGGAAGGCAGGGAAGGAAATTTCAAGATCACAGAGCTGCTGGATTTTCTAATGGGCCTGGATTTTTGACAGGAGAATTCTAGCTCCTGAGAAAGAGACCAGGTTATAGACAGGTGACACCCGCAGGTGGGGTGGGTACTAATTAAACACTTTCTAAGTCATCATTTGTCTGTCAGTTGCTATACTGTGGTGGCCTGAGTAATGCTATATGCCACCAGTATTTCAAATACCAGCAGGATCACCCATGGTAGGCAGGTTTTAGTGGAGCTTTTGGACTAAGACAGACTATTAAGAAAGGCCTGAAAATCTGCTTCCAAACATTAGCCAATGAAAATCCTATAGATAACAATAGAATACTGTCCAACATAGCTCTTGAAGATGAGCGGCCTAGGTTACAAGTATTCAAAATACACAGTGGCTGTAACAGTAAACTCAAGCATACCAACAATTGGGAAGATGGTGTGGATCGGGCAGCATTTTGTTCGCTCCACAAAACCAACCACAAGCACTATAGGCTGGGTCTTGTTACAACGAATCCCAAAGGACTGTTCACATTCCTTTCTACAAAGGAATTTTGTTGTCTTAAAGGTTGCTTGAAATAAGAGTCCTATTGTGTAGAAATAGGAGGCAGATAAATTGTCTGCTCCTGGAGACATCTGGCAGAATGGCATTGACTCTCACAGAGTTTGATGTGTGGACAGGGCTGAGGCTGACCTTGCTTCTGAAAGGCAAACATGGTAAAACAGAGTGCGCTGGAACCAAATCACCAAGTCCAAGCCTCATTCTTGCCACTTTCAAATCATGTGATCTTGGGCACATTGCTTAATCAGAGTTTGGGTTTCTTCAATCCATGGAGTGGGTACCATAATGAATATAAAATTTACCCCATGGGATAACATGTGTAGAAAGGCCATGTAAAACAACAAAGTGCTATGTAGTTATATGGTATCATTATTGAAGTACCACACAATAATTATAATAAGTGTTTATTTTTAGACAAGTGACTGTCAGCTGTAAAATGGCATCCATAGCATTTTCTTCTCTCTCACAGTGATACCATGAGGATATAAAAATAGTTTCAGTTCTAAGAAAGTGCCCCAAGTTTACATACTATTCCTTACCCTTTTCCTTCCCTGCTAAGCCCCTGACAGATTCTTTGGGTGGTGCAAACAGTTAATGTACTTGGCTGTTAACTGAAAGGTGGGAGGTTCCAGTTCCCAGAGATGGCACAGAAAAAAGGCCTGGCAATTTACTTCCAAAACATCAGCCACTGAAAACCCTATGAGAAGGTGAACAATAACACCAGGAAAGTATATACTTGAGATCAAAAGGGCAGCATTTTCTCAGAGATAAAGCTCAGAAGGCAGGAAGGGACAGGAAAGATGGGCAAAGGGAAACGGTAAAAACAGGGAGGAAGTGGGAAGAGTGCTGTTACATTGTGGGGATTGCAATCAACGTCACAAAGCAAAATGGGCATGAATTGTTGAATGGAAAACCAGTTTGCTCTGTAAACTTTCCCAAATCACAATAAATAGTTTTAAAAAAAAGGAAAAGAAAACCCATGGAGCACAATTCTATGCTAATGCACAAGGGGTCGCCATAAGGAAGAGCTGACTCAATGGTGATTGATTTTTTAAACCTTCCAAAGTCATTTTTACCAGTGGTCCAAGAGGAGACAGTGACGGCTCGCAGCCCAGAGGAGAAGCTTCAGGGGTCCCAGGACCACTCACCGTCACTACCACGTAGAAGCACCATATCACAGAGCTGAGATGAAAGACTACCAGCTGTCCAGATTCATTGAACTTGCTGTGCTTGACCTTGGAGAGATGAAGCCTTTTGCTGATTTTCTAACAGAAAAAGAGAAACCCATATATGAACACTTAAATGTATTTGTAATGTGCAAATTTCAAACTTCTGTTTTTTCCTCCTGAAAGGGCTGAACAGTGTCAGGCACATGAAGCAGCCATAAGTCAGACTTTTTTTCAGTGTAAACCTACTGCGTGCACAGAGTGCTTAACTAACTTAAGGCAAGTATTTTGAGCAAGTGGCAAGATTAATGTCTTCAACCTAGACATGGAGAAAGCATCCCCTAACACGCTGAATACCATGGACCTACAGGGACACTGGCTTGTCATCTTTCAGGCAGCTCTCTCCCCAAGTAATAAATACTGTTGTCCCACATGCTGACTAAAGAGGCTGTGAGATGGAATGGAGACCAAGGTGTAGAAGAGGAAGGCAGACAACAGAACCCACTTAACCTACTGCCATCGAGTAGATTCAGATTCATAGCAACCCTATAGGACAGAGTAGAACTACCCCATACGGCTTCTAAGGCTGTGATCTTTACGGAAGCAGACTACTATATCTTTTTCCTGTGGGACAGCTGGTGGGTTCAAACCACCAGTCTTTTGGTTAGCAGCCAAGCACTTATCCACTGTGCTACCAGGGCTTACTATAGAACCAACTAGGGTATGCAAATTAGGGGATAAATGGATGGATTCAGAGCTGCAGTTTCCTCTAAGGTGAGGGCCTCCAACAAAGACTTCTTCCAGCTTCTGATATCAGAATTCAGACATGTCACTTACATCTAAAATGTACTCCTGAACCACAGCATGCAAGATGATGGTGATGAAGATGTAGAACAAGATTGTGACCAGGTCCTTCGGCCCGTAGTGGTAGTGTACGGTCTCACTGTCTGCAGAGGTAATAAGAACAACCACATCAGCATCCCAGGAATTCTACAAGTCTTGAAGAAATTCTCTCATTGTTATAAAGCAAGCTGACCACATTCAAATACTGAGCACATCCCTTGGCCCCTCTTTAAGCAAAAAAGAAAAGATGTCTGAAGCAGAATGTGCCATCAAATGCTACCCATCTGCTGTAATCCTAGAATCAGAAGGAAGCGTTTTAGTCCCAGAATTCCACCTGACCTCTGCACTTGGCCCTTGGGAAGCACCAATGGGGAGGAATTGCTCCACCATCTCCTGAGTCTGTGAAGATAGCACAGTAGTTAGGAGCCAGGTGCTGGAGACAACCATGAGGCACCTCTACGTATGACTTTTCTGTGTCTGTTTTTTCATCTGTAAAATGAGGACGATAACGGTTCCTGCATCACAGAGTACTGTGAGAATTAGATAAATTAATAAATGCAAAGTGCTTGGAACAGCATGTGGCACAGTACTTTGTCGCTGGTTGACAATGAGCTGGCCCTGACTCATGGTGACCCCATGCACAATGGAATGAAACACTGCCTGGTCCCACACCATTCCCATAACTGGTTGCGCATCAGAACCTTGTGATCCACAGGGTTTTCACTGGATGATTTTCAGAAGCACATCACTAGGCCTTTTGTTCTAGCCCATCTTAGTCTAGAAGCTCTGCACACAGTCTCCAATGGCTGATGACGGCTGTGCGGGAGGTGCACTGGCCAGAAATTGAACCTGGATCTCCCACCTGGAAGTCAAGAATTCTACTACTGAAACACCAATCAATGCCTCACCTCGCACACAGTAAGTACTTATATGTATTTGCTATTATTTTTGCTGTTGTTATTGGTCTATTGTGAGGATTAAGTGAAATCATTTGTATGCAAGATGCTTATCGCAGGGCCTATAATTTATAGTCAGTATGCAATAAGTGGAGGTTTATTAAAACACTATTTATCAGTAATAAATTAGACAGAATTTCAGATATGCAAGTCTTACAAAGCTCTGCTATTACAGCCTATTTTTCTCCCTGGACGGGGAGTGGATTTATACTCTCATTCTAGTTAGTAGGCTGCAGAGTTGCAGAAGACTCATGGATATTTGCCTGGTTCTCTGCTGTTCTATAAACCCACCATCCCCCCAAGCAGACATTGGTTCTTTCCAGCTATGGTGCATTTGCCCTGAGTCACACACACATGAGTCATCTCACTTTACTGGGATGCATTTACCAGAAGGTAGGCCAGGGTCAGTCTGTTTCAGGGTGACCATGAGACAGGGTACAGCTCACTGGATCACCCCAGGAGTCCACCATAACCTCAGCCACCCTGGACCGGGAGAATGTCCTGGTGGGCAGCGGTGAGGGGCTGAGAGGAGGTGGTGAGTGTGGCGAGAAAACGATGAACTTTGAAATCAGACAAGCTTTCTTTTTTTCCCCCCTCTCCCTCCTTCATCCTACAAACACCTACTCTGTGTGAGGTAATGGGCTAACTATTGAAATATGGAGATAAAAGACACCGTCCCTGCTTCAGAGTGCACAGTGCAGCAAGGAGACTGACAAGAAGGCAATTACAGTACAGAGAGGTACATGTGAGCTGAGGAGTGGAGGGCCTGACTCCTGACTCCCGCTAGGCAGGAGGTGGTAGGGTAATTGGTCAGGGAAGACTTCCTAAGTAGGATGACATCAAAACCTGGGAATAAGAGGGGTAGTCAGGTGAGTCCCTGGGCAGTACTAAGGGTTAACATGCTCAGTTGCTAACAGAGGTTGGAGGTTCAAGTCCACCCAGAGGCACCTTGGAACAAAGGCCTGGTGATCTACTTCTGAAAAAAAATCCCGTGGTGTACAGTTCTACTCTGACACTAAAGGGATTGTCATGAGTTAGATTTGAGTTGACGGCAACTGGGTTCTAGGTAGTCAGGTGAAGTGGCATCCCAGGCAGAGGAGGCAGCACCTGCAGGGGCGGGGGGAAGGAGGCTGGAGGGCTGGGCAAGGGTGAGGCTGGTGTGACTGTCTTTGCATGCTGTGTGAAAGAGCCTGGACTTTATCCTGAAGGCAATGGGGAAACACTGGAGAATTTCAAATTAAACAGTAAAATGATGAAATTTGTGTTTTGGAAAGTTTACTCTGGCAGCAGTGAACAGCAACAATCCTGGATGTAGAGACCAGTTAGGACGATGGGCCACCATGATCCAGGTAAGGATCATAGGGGGCATGAATTAAGCCTTTTTCTTTTTTGATTTTTGATTGGTCACTAATTCTTATAAGAATCTTCTCCTACTCTTCAAGGACTGCCCGGGTCTTGCATGGGCTCTCAGAAAACAACAGCAATGGTTTGGCAATAACTTATTGTAATTCATCTTTTTAAAATTTAATTTTTATTTATTTATTTTAAATGATATTTTATTGTGTTTTCAGCAAACGTTTACACAGTAAGTTAGGTTCCCATTTAACCACTTAACAATTACTATACATATTATTGGGAGCTCTGGTGGCACAGTGCCTAAGGCATTTGACTGCTAACCAGAAGGTTAGCAGTTCAAACCCACCATGGAGTGCCGTGGAAGTTAGGGCAATCTACTTCTGTAAAGATTCACCACCTCAGAAACCTAATGGGGGTCGCTATGAGTTGGAATTGCCTTGATGGTGGTGGGTTTGGTTTTTTAAATCACCCTCTTGGTTTATCAGTCACATCTCCACTTTGCTAGATAAACAAGTTTAAGAAACATTCACTTTCCTCTTAAACTTATTAAAAGAAAAACAACAGCAAAAACTGGGATAACTGACCAGCAGCCCCAGTGTCAGGGATGCACTAGAGAGAAGTGATGACTGGAAAACAGCAAAGCCCATGTCCCATCAGGGGTGAGGACGGGAGTGGTTATGGGAGGGGTGCCACCTGGCGCTGCCAGATTCCTGATTTTTCAAGAGCAAAGGGAGAGATCTTTACATGAAATCATCTGATTTGGTGACTAATGCACAAATTTTAAAAACACTGTATGGGCCAACACTAAATCGCCCAAACAAAACACATCTGCAGGCCAGCTCTGACCATGGGCCATGATTTGTAACCCTAGCCTAGATCACCCAGGACACCTTCCCAACACCAATATTCTGTGAGTCTTCTTCCCACACACCCCCATGGAGTATGTCAATATGTTCCACTGAAGGGATTCATCTGGCTTTGAAAGAAAGCATCCTCAGAAATGATCTACCCATGACAGGAGGCTATTTGATCTCCCATCAAAAGGGATGCTTGCTTAACTCAAAATGCACAAACAGCTGAAGATAAACTAGATGAATGGGACCTTCTAAAAATTAAATATATTATGTGCTTCAAAAGACTTTGCCAAAAGGAACTTATCTCTAAGATTCATAGAAAACTCTAATGCCTCAACACCAAAAGAATTAACAATCAAATTGAAAAATGGGCAGAAGACATGAACAGACACTTCACCAAGGAGGATATTCAGGTGGCCAGCTAATACATGAAGAGATGCTCACAACCACTGGCCATCAGAGAGATGCAAATCAAAACAACAATGAGATACCCTCTCACCCCAGCACTGATGGCAAAATTCAATGAGACAGAAAAAAACAAGTGCTGGCAGGATGTGGATATTGGGACACTCATACACTGCTGGTGGAACTGTGAAGTGATAAAACCACTGTGGAAAGCAATATGGCAGTTCCTTAGAAAGCTGGAATTGGAGGTACCATTGACCCAACAATCCCATTACTAGGTATATATCCTAGAGAGGTGAGAGCCAGGATAGGAACAGATACATGCACATTCATGTTCATCACAGCACTATTTACAACAGCATAAAGATGGAAACAACCTACATGCCCACCAGTGGAAGAGTGGATGGCTAAACTATGGTACATACACATAATGGAATGCTATGCAGCACTAAAGAATAATGTAGAGTCTG